TGCAGATCACTGAAGGTGACTGTTAGAAGCAGCTTTAGTACATCTTTGAAAATCCCCAGTACCTTTCAGGGATGAGGTGGGTGTGCCAGATGGGCTGTGCCTTTACTGGGTTGCTGTGTTTCCTAGGAAATTCCATCAGGACTTCTGACTACAAGTCAGTACCTTTGTGGATAAGGCTACTTGTGGTGGGTAGTGGCTTAGTAGTGCTTTAGAACAGATGTGTAATGGCTGCCCTGAGCTTCTGAGTGCAAACTGTAGGAGGAAAATCTTGGCCTGCACACAGGATAGAGCTCCTGTCAGTTCCTCCACCCTGAGCAGGGAGGTTTCTTTGGGGAAAGGCACAAGGCTATGGAAGAGGGTGATTGGTCATTGATAACCTGGTTTGCTCTTTGGGTTTTGCTGTTTGAGGGTGGGGACAGTTGTTGCAAAGGCATTGGCTGAAAAATAGTCTGGGAGGAGGGGGATAAGATATAGGGATGGAAAGAAGGGAAACAGATGCAAGCAGAGATGGGGAGAGGGAAGGATCAAGCTGGGAGATGTGATGAGGTTACAATAGGATTTAAAATCTCTGGCATCCAGCTTTACCATGCAAGAATGTCTTCTAGATTGCAGAGTACTTAAACTTTTAATAAAAATATATATCAATTCTTGCTCACTTTTCTGTCAAGTTCAGAGCAGTTTCTCCTCGGCCTCTACCTGTTCCTTCTGATGTGACCCCAAAGACAGCCCAGAGGGGTGCAGAGCACCCTGAGCCTGCAGATAGTGCCAAACCCAGCCAAGCAGCCATTCCAAAGGTTAGTGATGAAAACTGTCTGCTGGCTTTTGTCTCAGTCCTTCTGAGCAGTTTGTTCTGTGTGTGTGCACAGTGAGTAAAGAAATGTTGGGTAGCTTCCTGCCTCATGGAAGCCCTGCTCAGTGTGGGATGAGCCTTGCTGAGCCTAGGAGGTCAGAAGCCCCTTTTCTAGAGTTCAGATTGGTCTCATTGAAGACAGTTCTGTAATAAATAATTAAGCATTAAATAATAGCTCCCACTCTTTGAACCCTTGAAAAGGATTTTTTGCTTAATAGGTGATTAGGAAACAAAAGCCAAAATGGTGATTGCAAATTAAGACCAAATTAACTTCCTTTGAAGGAGCGGCCCTTGTCAGCAAGAGAACGGAGGAGGCTGAAACAGTCTCGGGAGATGCTTCCCTCTGGTAATTTTTATGTTTATATGTGAACAGTTTATGTTATTTTAAATAACTTTTTCCTGAAGAAATTATAACTTCTTGTCTGTTCTTCACTGCCATCTTCAGAACAGTGCACTAAGGGGCTAGTTCTGTGTTAAATAAGAAGTTCTGTTAACATGTCTGTATTTTTCTGCTTTTTAGTTATGTCAGTTGTGTTCTGTGTTGACAACTTGTCTTTGAAATGTACATAAAATGTAGAATATTCACTTTCAAACAGAAGTTTCAATGTTTTCTATTAGCAAAATACCTACCTCCCTGCCTGCCTTCTGCTAGGTGATAGATTTTTTTTCTTGCATGAGCATGAAACTAATTCAGAATACACCCAGCTTAGTTGTAAATATTGTCAAAATGTCATCCATCCAGGGGTTCCAGTGAGACAGTCATTAAATGGTGCAGCAGTTGAAGCAAAGTCACGTGTGGAAAATTGTGTTAAAGTTCCTCAGTCCTCTTTAGATCCCAGTGTTTCTCAGGTAAACTTTGTCAAAAGTATTTGTTCCATGTAGGAACAGTAATATATGCCATATTGCTGAATTACTTTCAACTATTAGAATTCTTGTTATTTATTCCCTCCTCCCTTAGAGAAAGAGAGAAGCCCATTGCCTGTCTGATGATGAGCTAAGCTCTTCCACAAGTTCTACAGACAAGTCTGATGGTGATTCCAAGGAGAAGTAAGGATTCTGTTTAATACTGTGCAAGAATTTTCACTGCTATACTGGACCTTGACTTGGAGTGGAAATAAAAGGGCTTTCACACTTTAGCTGTGCATAGTGAGTGATTGAAGAAGTATGTGATGCATAGAGGAAAACAGCCCCACTGATTTATTGTCTCTCTGTGACTGTACACTTTCCATGCTGAAGTTTCTGGGCCATGGGATTGTGTATGATGGTTTTGTGAACTGCAGCTTCCCAGAAAACAATCTTCCATCACCAAAGGACATCTACTGCCAAGATGCATTAAAAGCACAAGTTGAAAGGTGCCAATGTGCATCCTTTCCACTGTAAATGAGGCTGAATTTATCTCTGATTTTTGTCAGTGTAAGCAGCTTTCAAAAGATGCAGTTTGTTGCATTACCAGAGTCAGCAGTAGCCAGTAGGATTGTGGGGTTTTTGCTGGGCTCTGAGCCTTTGTTAAATGAAATAGTACTGATTTTGCTATTGATAAAATTGCACCACAACTAGGAATTTAACATGGAATACTTATTAGGACCTGAATAAACTCATTGAAAGCTCTGGAATGCAGGGTGAAAGTTGCATTATGATGGTGACTGAATTATTTATTCCTTCTCTCCTAGGAAAAGTATGAATGAAATGAATGACTTGGTGCAGCTGATGACATGGACACTGAAAATGGACTCCAAGGAGAACTCTGAGTGCTGTGTAACCTCGACCCCAGCCCCAGAGTTTAAACTTCATAGAAAGTATCGAGATACTTTGATTTTGCATGGAAAATCACCTGATGAATCAGAGGAATTAAAAATGGAAGAGATTCCTTCAGGTCTGTTTCTCTGGGATTCTGTGGTAATACTTGGAGTCGTCCCATATTCTTCTGCAGAATGTGAAAATTGTCTGTACTGAAAGTAATTACTACTGCACTGATTTTTTTCATTGTATTTTATTTCTAATAGATATGTCATTGGTCCCTTGCAAGATTAGGAGAATGGTTGAAATCCTGAGATCTGATGTGGTGCAAGGATTGGGAGTGAAACTTCTTGAGAAAGTGTACAGAATCATGGAAGAAGACGATGAAGTGAAAAGAGAGGTGAATGTCTTCCATGATAAAATAGTTTAATTTCTTTATAAACCTAGATAATTGAGCAGGCTGTTTATCCTATTGAGATAGGGTAAACCTTGATTCCAGAAGGTATTTATGTAGTCATGGGCAGGCAAGGACCTAAGTATATTGTAATTTTCATGCTAAAGTTTGAATCCAGATGTAGACCACATTCAACTCCAACTTCTTCAGAAACCATCAGAGCTTTAGAACAGTACCATGGGGAAGGTGTGAGGGATGTAAATAATTTTACTCTGTTAATAATTTTATGCTGTTTCTCCAGTAATAATTTCTTCTGTCTCTCAAATGTTTGCCTTCACATTACTTTCCTTATGCTCCTTATGTCCAAAATAAGAAATAATTTAATATCAATCCCCAATAGAGGTGAATAAGGAATACCTTCAGCTCCTTTGATGCAAAACTTGGTTACACTTACCTAGACAGTATTTGATTTGTAATCTGTGAAGAGCTTACATTTTAAATTTTTGGGTGGGATTTGAAAGTCTCTTGCTTTTAGACAGCAATAGTGTTCATTTTTCTTCTCTCTCATCCACATTGCCAAGCTTCACATGCTTATTTGAGCTGAGTGCTTTGGTATTTCTCTGTTAATATTTAGGTAGCATCTGCTTTTTTTCAGTGCCAGTAAATGTGGGTTTATTTCTGTGTTAACAGCTGCAGTTGCGGGAGCACATGGGAGACAAGTACGTCAGTTACAGTGCGAAGGCTCGGCACCTCAAATTCCTTGAAGAAAATGTGAAGCTCTGACCAGAATCCTTTCCTTGGACAAAAGAACTGTTTTCTAGCTCCTTTGATAGACTGGACCAGCTTACAAAGCCTGTTCATCCACTGATCTCCTTTGCTGGAATAAGGAGGTGAACTTGCAGGAAATGTTAAGAGTTCATAGTAATATTTTTCATGTTAAAATGTGAACCAGGCTATCACTTTCTCAGAAGAGAAACTTCTGAGTTGCTCTTTAGTTTAGTTTAGTTTTTACTCTCTTAAAAAGTTGCTTTCCATAGGGGTCGATACCAAGTTTTGTATACCAAGGAGTGTCAAAAAAGATTATGTTCTGGTTTGAATTTGTCATAGCAAAAGGTTTTTATTTTTTTTAGTTAATTTTTTACTAATTTTTTAGTTTATTTTTTTTGTTACTGTATTTAGTACTTTACTAAATACAGTAACAAAATCTCTGCCAAGGCTCTGATGTGATAAACTCTAATCTATTACATCAGAAAGTTGTGAAAATTTAGCATGAAGAAACAATTACTAATTTTTGTGGAACTCAAGGTCCTCAGGTAGTGTAAATTGCCAAGTCCAAGTGCTGAAGGGGGCAGCTGTACTGCTTGTAAGGAGAGACTTTGCTCTTGTGTTTTGTTGCTGAGGCAGTCACCAAGGTGGGGGAAAGCATTTGGTATCTGGATAAAGTAAGTCTGAAAATGTTTGAAAGGAATGCAGCCATGGTTACCATGGTTCCAGCTGGAGAAATCCCTTTGCCTTACAAATACTAATTCCTTTTAGGAATGTAAGTGCCCAAGAGCAGAATCTCTTAGGGAAAAGATAAAACACTTATTTCTTTTTGTTTGAATCCAGAGTGTCTCACTACAGCCCCCAGGCATTGTTGTGTACCATACCTACAGGAAAAGCACATGTTTTTTAAATAATAAAGAAGTCAAATGGAATTGGATTTGTAAAATAAAATTATAAACCTGTCTCTTTTCCTGCCTGTAGCTGAAATACTGTAACCTCCAGCAGTTGTGAGGGAGCTTACTGACGTGAGCCATTCCTGTGGCTCCTGCTCACACACTACAAGCTCAAGTTGCAATGTTTCAAGAGCAATTCTTACTTGTTCTTCCCAGGGAAATTTATTTTAAACAAAAACTGGCTCTCTGTATCCTCCTATCCTGGAACAGTTATTTTCAGAACTGTGGGGTATGTACCTTTTCACAGTATTTATTACAACCTGGCAGTACTGACAACTTGCTTTACACACAGTTAGAAACATTTCAGTAGAAGTTTAGCTGTTTATTAATCTTTTAGGCTATGGCAACAGCTTAACTAGAATTCATTTTATTCACTGTGTTCCTTTTTAGTGAAATACTCAAGATGTGACCTCCAGTAGCCTTCTGAAGTTAATCCCCCCATCCTTTTGTTCCCAGTGACTCCCCTGAACCTCCAGACCCAATTTCCAGCCTTCACGCTCCCTGCAGAGCTTGGTTGTATTCGTGGATGGATACAAAGTACTAAGAAAAAACCCAACCACTAAGCCAAGAAGTATTTCTCAATAGAAATTAATTTAACAAAACTTAACAAAGTAACAGCCTGCACACCATCATTTTTAGGTTTTGGAATGTCTCTTTGGCTTCCTGTCTGCTGCCTTCTTCTCTTCCGTGCCCGACTCCTGGACCGGCAGCCACTTGAGGGGATTGCGGCGGTACATGGGCCACGGGGGCAGCGTCAGCTGAGGGCAGAGGAGGCAGTCACAACAGGGACACTGGGTGCTCAGGGGCTGTTCTGTACAGCTCCTGAGGAAAATCTTCATCTCTAACTCATTATTTATTAGTCCTTAAAAACTCTTACAATTTCATATACATTTACAGTTTATATTGCAAAGTCACGCTTAAGTACGTGACTAAAGCACCCCAGGTTGTTGCAAGGAGAAGGACAGCACCCACCCTGAGGTAAAAAGGACTCCTGAGGTGACACCAGCATTCCCAGCACCTCCCACGTGCACTGAGACCCTCCCCTCTTGTGGCACCACAGGTAAGTAACACAGGGATGTTTAAGTAAGTAAGGAGCAGATGGATGATGACGATGCCAGAGAATTACAGGGGCTTTTCAAAACAGTGGAATGTCTGTGTGTCCTGAGTAGTGGTTGGTCAAATTGTGCTGTATCTGAGCTCTTGAGAGGTGTAAGAACCACAAGTTAAACCAGATTGGTTTTACTGTTATTTACTGTTTTACTATTGGGAGTGCCCCAATAGGAATGGGACACCTCTCATGTATAGTTAAGTAATTACTCCTGAAATTCCATATTCTGCCTCAGGCAGCAGGGGACAGCTGCAAAATTTTCATGCCAAGCTGCTACTGCACAGAAAGCCTCCCTGTCCCTTCTGTTATTAATGCTGTCAGCTGGACTTAACTCTAACTTTTCATTGAAATGAAACATGAACTCAAAAGTGGTGTTAAATTGCAAAAATTCTGCTAGCATTTAAAAAAAAGCACTTAATGGGCTGCAAAGCACTTTATGCAGACCAAAGGAAGCACAAATATGTATTAATAAATCTGAATTGCATAGCAAACATTAGTCTGTGCTGACAGCCCCTCAATTTAGCAATTATTCCATATTAAACAGTGCATGTATTTTTTGGTTTGAGGAAAAATATTCTTACCAAACATGATAAAGCAAATCCAGCCATAACTATGTAGACAGTCCATCCAAACTGTTCAGTGATGTATCCATAGATAAAACCAATTACCTGCAAAAACAAACATTAAAAAAATTCAAACTTTAAAAAAAGAAAAACTTTTCCCATGACATGATTAAGATGCAGGGGATAGATTTAGGTAGGAAAATACAGGTTTTTCAAAGGCATGTACATCTTTCAAACCTTTTCAAAAGTGCAGGCCAACAATGAAAGTAAAAGATGGGAAGTAGAAAAGTTTTAATCTATGACAGCCCATCTTTGTTTAAAGTTTTTAGTGACCCCAAACAATAAGAAAAATATTTATAAGATCAGAAAATAAAAATAGTCCTTTATGTTCTCACCCACAGGCCTACTATACTTACTGCAGAGACAAGAATGATTCCTTGAAAAATCTGTTCTGCTAATTTTTGGCCCTTGTAGTCCTGTGGAAAGAGACACTTCTTAGTCAGTCATTCAAAACACAGACCTGCCCACTTAACTATTTCAGGTTAGATCCTACAGTCTACCTGACCATGGGTTCTCAGCGTTTTTGTTCAACTTTCAAACCAGATTGTAATTATTTTTCTTACAGTGGCTGAAAACACCTCCTCTGCAGGCTTGGCCACATCACCTAGAAACAGAAGCAAGCACTGTCTGATCAGGGTAAGTAATGCAAGTTCAAAAGATCATTGTCGTCACTTTAACATCACTAAGTAAAGCTGTATCACCACAGAAGAGGGCATGGTGTGTGTGGCACCTGTGTCCTGGAGAAGGCTGACAGATAAATGTCACTAGGGTGGGTGCCAACAGGATGGTGCCAACCTCTCTTCAGTGGTGCCCAGCACCAAGATGAGGAGCAATGGCCAGAAACTAAAACACACCAAGTTCTACCTCAACAGAAGGAAGAATTTTATGTTGAGGATGGCAGAGCACTGGGACAGGCTGCCTGGAGAGGCCGTGGAGACATTCCAAATCCACCTGGATTCATCCCTGCTCCAGCTGACCCTGCCTTGGAGGGCTGGACTGGATGATCTCCAGTGGTTTCTTCCAAACCCAACTAATCTATGTTTGCATGATGTTAGAAAACTCTGGGAGCACACGCTGCCTTCTGTCCTACAGCAGAGGCAGGAAAGCACAGAGGGGCTTCCCTTACACAGACAGCTTCCTTTTACAGCGTGCCAGTCCCAAACGTCCTTTTACAGCGTGCCAGTCCCAAACTTCCTTTTACAGAGTGACAGTCCCAACTCGCAGGTCAAAACCCGGAATTACAGGAATTCATCCTGCAACCCCTAGCCGTGCCTCGTACGCGGGTGTCGCGCAGGGGACACAGAAACCCGCGCCGGCCGTGTCACCGTGCGTGCAGGGACAGTGAAACCCGCACCGGCCGTGTCACCGTGCGTGCAGGGACACTGAAACCCGCACCGGCCGTGTCACCGTGCGTGCAGGAACACTGAAACCCGCGCCGGCCGTGTCGCCGCAGTGCCCCGGTGCCGAGGCCCGAGCGGGCCCTACCATCTGCGTGGGGATGGAGCGGAACACGCTCAGCATGGCGGCGGCGCTTCTCCGGCTTCTTCCCGTTCCTCTTGGCAGCCGTCTCGGCGCTCCCGAGTAGGGCCCTGCTGTTGGCGGGGCGCGGCGCGGCCTCTCCGCTGCTACCGGCGATCGTCGCGGCGGAGCGGAAGGCGGCTGCTGAGCTGGCCGGAAACACGCCCCGTCCGCCCCGCCCAAAGCCCCGTCGGCCGGGGGTGCCGCCCCCAGCCCCGGCCATCGCCTCCGCGCCGCCGCCACCGCTCCGGGGCTGCTCCGCTCCCGCTCCCCCCAGCCCGCCGGGACGCATCCCCTCGGCAACGGCGCCCTCGCCCCCCAGGACCCCGGCGGAGGCGCCCTCCCCGGCAGGTGCGAGCCGCGGAGCCGCCTGTCGGAAACCCGCACTGACTCGGCGGCTCGCGGGCCGCCCTCCCGTCCCAGCTTCGGGCTCGTCCCACGGAGCCGCCGGGCGCCGCCGCGGCCCCGGTATCGCGGCGGGGTGGGCGCGGCGCGGGTTCGGTGCCTGGCGGCGGTCAGGCACCTGGGCGGGCACCCACGGGCACCCGCGCGCTGCCGCGGTGGCGGCGCGGGCGGACGGTCCGTGAGGGGCCGGGGCGGTGCGGGAGAGCCGGGCACGGGCCCGCCAGCCCCGGAGCGGGGCTGTGCCCGCAGAGCAGCCCGGGGAGCGCCGTGTGCGCTGCAGGCAGCCGGCGGAGCGGCGCGGTGTGCGTTTTATTGTGGTCCGTGACCATACCTGTGCAGTCCTGAGCCCGGCTGCCGCGTGTCGCTGAGGCGCCGGCCGTGTCCGTGCCCGCCTCAGCCCCGGCGCTGGGAATCGCCCGGCGGGACGTGGCGTTGTGCTCCCAGTCCCAGCTCCGGGTCCGGCCCCGTGCCAGCAGCGCGGCGGTGCTCGGAGGGCTCGGGGCAGGGATTTGTTGGGCTCCGCTGATGTGTCTGCAGCAGCGGGAAGAAAGTGGTTGTGATACATGTAACAGTCACAGCACGGTCTGAGGGGTTTTAATTTAGGGATTTCGCAAGTCTCTCACCGTTTCTGCTATTTTGCGTGTTGTTAAGGAGCTTTCTGTGTGTCGTTTGACAGCTCCTTCACACGCCAGGATACACAGCTCTTGTTCTGATTTCACCTCGACCCTTAAATAATGAACAAGCATGTTTGAATTTCTCACCGAAATTGCATTGGTGTTGTATTTCTACCACCTTCTATAACATGATGGTACTGCCTTCTTTCCCCCCCTTTTTTTCCCCAATTCACATAGCTAAAGAAATAGTTGCCACAGTAAAGAAAACATACATAATCTTCCAGATCTTTCAGATTAGTTTTGACTGGCAGAAGGAGTTTGGCCTTTTTCTGTCAGTGAAGTGGTAAGATCTGCATGTCTCCTTTCTATCTCTGAGATCTTCTTTAGATATGTGATTGTAGTGAGGGGGTCCCTAACATGAGAAGGACATGGACCTGTTAGAGTCCCTTCCAGTGCCTAAAGGGGGTGGAGAGGGACTTTGGACAAGGACATGGATGACAGGACAAGGGGGAATGGTTCCCAACTGGCAGAGGGCAGGTTTAAATGAGGTACTGAGGAGAAATTCTTCCCTGTGAGGGTGGTGTGGCCCTGGCACAGGCTGCCCTGAGAAGCTGGGATGATGTCTGTGCCCATGGCAGGGGTTGGAACCAGGTGATCTTGAAGATTCCTTCCAACCCAACCCATCCTGTGATTCTGTATTTGTAGTCAGGAACTTCCTGAGACCATACTCACTTTTTAAAATGTGACATAGTTTTATGTATGTCATAAAACTGACAGAGGGAAACACTCACTGCCTTGGGCGCTGAAGCTGTTGTGACACTCCTGGTGATAGTGTGCTGTGCCTCATGGAAGAATGCACTGACAGTGACTGCTGCATTTTTTTCTTGCAGATTTGCAGGAACCTTATGCTAATAAAATAAGAACAGAAAAATGACGTTAAGGAAAGGTATGTGTGTATGCTTGTCTGGTTTTTTTTTATATCTTTTGTATCTGAGTTTCTCAGATGTTCTCTGGTTATTTTGATAAAGATTTTTCTTCTTAATTTTCAGTGAACATTTCCATCCTTATAGTGGCTGTTGTCATATTTCTGCTAGTTATTCATCATAACTTCATAAGCCTCAGTGACTTCTTGAGACGGGAATTGTCAGGTATGTTGGGTTTTATTTTAATTTTAGAATATATATATTTTTAAGATTTGGTGGGAAAACACCTGCTCTGGCCAGACAGAACCTCTCACGTGGTTTGGGTGAATGGCAGAGGGAAGTTAATGAGGTTATAGGTGTGGCAGAGGGGACCAAAGGCAAGTGCAGACTACTGTAGCTCAGCCTTTTAATACCTTGTGCTGTGTGTGAGTATGTGTGGTTAAATGTGTGCAGTTTTCTGTAAATGTGGTGTTATTCTATTCGTTAGCATCTCAGATTCTCAAAAGCTGATGCTCTGAGTGTTTGATACTGGCTCACTGTAATCCACACCTCAGCTCAGGCATCCAATAGTATAACAGAAATAATTGAAGTGTTGGGAATTTTAGTGTGGTAATAATAATATATAATAATAAAAACAAGCATGTCATTTTTACTCCACAGATCCAAGTCCCTTAGGACTCCAGCCTATAGATTTCATTCCTGCAGCTCCCCAGAGGCTGGCAGATGAGAGGAATGACAAGGAGATTCCTGTGGTCATTGCAGCCTCGGATGAGAGGCTGGGAGGTGCAATTGCAGCCATGAACAGCATTTACCAGAACACCAGAGCCAACGTGGTTTTCCACATTGTTACTTTGAATGATACTGTGGATCACCTGAGGTAATGATATTTTCATTGGATTCCCACCTGTATTTCTGAGAGGAGAGCCAAGCTGCCTTTCCCTGGAGCTGCACTCCCCTGACTCCCAGTCCCAGCAGCTTTTTGACAGAACTGCTGTGGGAGTCCCACCATTCCTCCTGGTGAGGTTTCAGGGATGGAAAAGAAACATCTTTTCCAATGGGCTTATGTCCAACCAGTGAGGGGTTTGTTGGTGGAAGGGTTGTAAAAGGTACTTCTACATTTCATCTAAGCAATTCAAATGCTGGCAATCGTGTTTCTCCATTTTTGTAGATTACTCTTTGATTCTGTTATTCTAATCCCCTTCTGTCCACACTGATGGTTTTGGGAAAGGCCTGTGATAACAGGAATGTGTATTGCTGATAAAGCAAGAAGTGACCTCATACCTTTGACATGTCCCAGGTGTGCAGGTGCTGACCCTGGACTTGCCCCAGTGGCCACACAGGACAGCACTGATGGCAGCATCAATTACACCCCAGATGTGTTTGTAGGGCAGGGAAAGAGTGCCTTTCACACTTCCAGATCTGTGTCGCATCCAGATCTGTGTCACTGTTAGCTGGGTCTCCTGCTTTTCCCTTGATTTTGTGTCATTAACAAGATCTGTGCCTCTCTCCTGCTTGCAGGATGTGGCTGAGGATCCCTCCTCTGAAGAATATGAGGTACCGAATTCTGGATTTTGACCCTCGTGTCCTAGAAGGCAAAGTACAAGTGGATCCCCAAAAGGCAGACAACTTCAAACCAGTGAGGATGATGCTGATTACTTTTTGCAATTAGTAGCTAATAACAGTATATTTTGATGTTGGCTTTTGAACCCAGCTGGAGATCAAAACCAAGCCTGTTAGCATAGAAGCAATCTTTCATAATAAAATCCCTAAGTTTCAGTAAAATGAAGTATCTGGATAGTGAGAGATGGATTGGAATATCTACATATGCATGCCTAGGATCATTTTTTGCTGCTAGCCACAGTGAAACACTGCAGCTGGCATGTCAAGCATGCCAACACCTCAGAGATGCTGCAGATCTATGTGGAGAAATAAGTAATTCTTATATAGACCAGTTTCAAAGTTAGTTTATCAATGCATACATTCATGGTAAACCAGGAATTGATGGAACTTATTTTAAATTGTAGCGTATTGCGGCCTATTTTACTTCCTCTATAGATGTTGTCTTGGACATTAATGCCATAGATAAGTGCCAGAAAAATCAGTCAATTTCACATTTATTTGGACACTCTTTTCATTTAATTTTCCACTTGTCTTGCTTTGCTGTCCTCACAGTTAACTTTTGCAAGATTCTACTTGCCCAGCTTTGTACCTCATGCAGAGAAGGTCATCTATGTGGATGATGATGTAATAGTGCAAGGTATGGGACCTTTGTTAGCTGCCACTGGCCTTATGCTGAGGTCAGTATCTTATCTCTCACAGAACCCAAACATTTCTGTACAAACTTTGTAAATATGAGTGAATTGAGTTAAACTGAATATTTATCTGCTAACAATGGACTGAACAAAGCCTAACTTGGCTCTTAGTCAGGATTGCTTTTGATTTTCCTGTGCTTGCTTTCATTTTCCAGGTGATATTGTTGAACTTTACAACACCCCATTGAAGCCTGGACATGCAGCTGCATTTTCAGATGACTGTGACTCAACCAGTAGTAAAGTTGCTGTCCGTGGAGCAGGCAATCAGGTCAGTTTTAGTCTTGTTCAGTGATAACAATATTGTAGATCTCAGGCTTTTGGGAATGCTCCAAATGCTGAAACCTAAACCTAAATGTGACTTTCCCTGCCCAAACCAGTTTTACAGATGGGACCTGCGGTTTCTGATCAGGCACAGTAAATTACCTGGAATTTTTGCTGTGCTTTACAATGAGAGCAGTTCTCATTGTGGAACAGTGGGAGGTCTGAGAACATTGAAGGGACAATTTTTCATTTCTGAATGTATAAAAAGTACTTTAGCTGAGACTGGTACCATATTAATAATATGGTATTATTAACTCCATGCAGCATTCCTTAAAATATGTAGTCTATATAATCATATTTTCAAAATGTTACACCTCTTAAGCTTTCTTTCTCTCATTTTAAAGGAAAGGATATTTACTGTAACAACTTCAACTTACATCTGTCTGCTATGAGTTGTGCAGAATTTTTCTTTAGGAATTTCCCTGTATATTTTAAGCTAATTTCTACTCTCTTCCCCCCCCACCAGTACAATTACATTGGGTTTTTAGATTACAAAAAAGAAACCATCCGAAGGCTTGCCATGAAAGCCAACACCTGCTCTTTCAATCCTGGAGTTTTTGTTGCCAATCTGACAGAATGGAAATTACAGAA